CTCTCTCTCTCTCTCTCTCTCTCTCTCTCTCTCTCTCTCTCACACACACACACAGAGACACACACACACACACACACACACACACACACACACACATATATATATATATATATATATATATATATATATATATATATATATATGTATAGTTGATTGTGAGTTTGTGACCCTGAGTTTCACGCCCATTGCGATCGTCAGACAAACTGATTAATTAATCATATATATATATATATATATATATATATATATATATATATATGTATATATGTATATATATATATATATATATGTGTGTGTGTGTGTGTGTGTGGTGTGTGTGTGTGTGGTGTGTGTGTGTGTGATAAAAATATAGTTTTAAGTAATTCTATATTTATGGGTAAAAGTGGTCAATATCAGAGATCGAACGTATGTAAATATCAAAGTTGGCAGTCACTACATAATGTTGATTTATATGTTCACATGGTGTGTATATATATATATATATATATATATATATATATATATATATTTTTTTTATGTGTCCTTTCCATTTAGGACGTAGGCGATCATGGCTCTCCACTTCCCTTATAACTTGTAGCTCTCAAGTTTCGTCCCTCTGCCACCTCCCCCCAGACGACGTTCTGTCATCCACTTCCTTAAGCCCGCCAGGTATGACATGCGTTGCTTTCCCTTGTCTCTCTTTCCCTCTATTCGACCTGTGAGTATCAGATTCTCCACGCTCTTCTTTCTCATTGTGTGTACCAGAAACTTCAGCTGCCTCTTCATGATGTTAAGTATAAGCCTCCTCCTTGTTTACATCCACTCCAAGGCCTCATCGTTTCCTCACGGGCTCAGACCATGATATCCTCTTCATCCTTCTGTAGAACCACATCTCCGGCGCCTCGAGCCTCATCTTCATCTTTCAGGGGGCCGTCCAACATTCGCTGCCGTAAAGGAGGACAGATATTACGTAGCAGCTCAGTACTCTTTTCTTTGTTACCAAATAAATCCTCCTGTTTCGCAATACCTTGCCCAGCTTTTGGAATGCGTCATTGGCCATCCCAGTAAGTCTACGGATACCAGTGTCGCACTTACAGTCCTCTGTCAAATCAATTCCAAGATATTTAAACTTCCGCACCTGATTGATTTTAGTGTCCTCGACCTGCAAACACCATTTCGGGCTCATCCTTTTATTGATGACCATGCGTTATGTCTTCTTGTAGTTAATGCTTAGGCCCTTTTTCTTTCTCATTACGTGTCCCAGAAATTTCAGCTGCCTCTTCATGATGTTAAGTATAAGCCTCCTCCTTGTTTGCATCCTCTCCAAAGCCCCATCGTTTCCTCACACGCTCAGACTATGATATCCTCAGCATCCTTCTGTAGAACCACATCCTTCGCTACCTTCTGTAGGAGGTTTTGTAATTTCTTTTCCATGTCTGCTCTAAATACTGTGTCATCTGAGTATGTAGATGTTTAATTTTCATCTCCATGATCATTATAATGTAGATAAACTGTGATTCAATTTTGACGTTCAACAGGTATATTTGCCGTTGATTTTTAGTAATAGACCCCGTGTTTCGTTTTTTATTATCGTCCCCAAGGCAGCTAACCTGTACGGTTTTGTTAAATAAAAACGAGTCATTACATTTCTCCATAAAAAAGAATATCCAGTCGCCGAAGAAGTCAAGAAAGGAGTCTACCTATTCTGATTCATTATACTAAATTTTCATTTGAAAAAAAAAAATCTGAAATCATATCAAGATGCATCATTTTGCCGAATTATTAGAACTCTTATCATAAAAAAAATGTTGTTAGAAGCAAAGACAAGACTTCTGAACTGCAATCTAATTTCAATCTTCCTATCGCCCTGGGTATGACGATAAACTACAACCAGCAGCAAGACCTCTGATCGGGATGTTTTGAGGAACGTGGAAGCACCTATTAATTATCCTTGTTCCCAAATCAACCCTGACCACTGTTTGGATCCCAGCTGTGGGCAAATAGTTAACCCCTGAACTGGGGTCAAAACAGTATGTAAGTATAAAAGTAGATTCTTATATTAAAAATACGAGCAATACATTTTCGAAAAAGAAAATAATACCAGCAATACATCTTAGAGAAAAAATATATTACTAGTAATACATTCGACAAAAACCTTCTTTACAAAAATACGTCAATGAAACCTGATCTACAAACTGCTTTCTTATGAAGAATACATATTCTATTCATACAAATCTATTCCAAAAATCTTGTCGGCATTAAATAACCCATTGATGTTGATATGCCGTAAAACAAAATAAACCAAACCAAAATAAACCAAAAGAATACATATTCTATTCATACAATTCTATTCTAAAAATCTTGTCGGCATTAAATAACCAATTTAGTTTGATGTGTGTATGTAGAGTAGCTAGCACCCTTTCAGCACTGTACCAGATGGCCTGGTTCATAGTCTTAAATAATCTACGATTAAGGACTTCAACAGTTGTTTAATAAGTTGATACTAAGCTGATTAATATTGGAACTGATCTTACTTTGTTTGGCTATACAGCATTTGACTCTCCTCTATTCCTTGTGAATTGTCTTGTTAATTGTTTTGTAACTTATTGTTCTGTGTTTTTGTATGTATCCGTTAGCAACGGATATTGGTGCTGAATAAATATATTAAGCGCTCATTCTTCTCTGTGTATCATTCACTTCGACGATACAACAATATGACGTAAAATGAAATAAACCCAAATGCAATCCTCCTGTATGGCAGGAAATCCTAGACAATTTTCTCACAGATGAAGAGGCGAATTGAAGTAAGAGAAATGTAATTCTACAGGCTGTTGCTGAGAATGCCATGGTAATGGTAATAGTGAGAGTAACCATTAACCGAACATTTAGTATTAATATTGGTTGAAATGAAGTCTTTCTCTTTAAACAGTTTTTTAGGAAAGTAAACTTCTGAAGTCCTCTATTGACTCTATTCTCTTGGGTTGTTAACTAAGTTCCCACCATTTTTTTAATTTAATTTTTTTAAAAGGTTTAATAAAAAAAATAACAACTAATTAATCAATAATGTATTCTCCCTTGTCGTTTACAACTTCTTCCCAACGTTCATCAAGATTTTAATAAGACGTTGGTAGAAATCACTGTTTCAACTCGAAAAATGAATCCAACCAAGCTCTCAATTCTGCATCAGTATTGAACGAAACTCCACGCAGAGCATTTGAAAGAGATCGAAAGAGGTGGAAATCCGTTGATGCAAAATCGGGAGAGTACGTCGGGTGTGGCAGCACTTCCCACCCATTTTCTCTGCCAATTCCCTTGTCGTTTGACTAGAATTTTCGAGCAAAAGTTGGTTTAATCGCTCTTCATCCAGGTGCGTCGTTGAGGTAAAAATTTTCTATTTTTGAACTTGGCATATCAAACACGAGCGGTTCTTTCAACTATGGCATCCTCTCCAAATGTCACGAGCAGCTTTTGTGGCCTTAGAACCTTGATTAAAAGCAAAGAGGTGTCAAAAATGTTCATTTTTCTGTACTTGACATTCCATTTTAATGATCTGAAAATAAACAGAAATTAACTTAAATTAACTCGAAAATAATAAATAAATAGAAAAAATAGATTGCAAAATGATTTCAAAATAGAATTCTCGAAAAATATAGATTGCAAAATTAAAAAACAAAATAGATTCCATAATTTAAAAAAACGGCGAGAACTTACTTCCCAACCCAATAGTATTGATGGAAGTTTCATTCTCGACATTGTTTCTGGTAGCGTTGAAAGTCAAAATCTTGATTATGTGATATTGATCTTTTCAGTTAAATACGCTATCCATTTTATCTATTGCTGCTGTTGGAATTCCGTCATCCGCCCATTGAATAATGTTACCATATCTGGTCTAGTGCTCCTGCCGTACATCTCGAGGCTCTTGACAAAATCCAAACAAGGGTCTGCAATGTAATCACTTCTGACCAGGCATCTCGACTTCAGTCACTTTCTCACCGACGTGACGTGGCTTCCCTCTGTCTTTTCTATAAATATTTTCATGTCAACTGCTCTGATAAGATTTTTCCCCTGGTGCCCCGACTACATGAATTTTACTAGATTGGCATTTAGGTCCCGCCGTTTTACTGTTGAACTAGCGAAACGCAAACGTCACTTTTACTCTGAGTTTCTTTTCTCGCACTTCCCACCTGTGGAAATGTCTTCCGATTTCTTGTTTCCCTGATAACTAAAATCTTCAAAAATTTAAATGCAACGTCAATCGCCATATTCTGTCTTCTTGAAGCCTGTTCTTTTTTTTTTTTTTTTGATCCTTTCCTCAATCCTCAATATTCTTAGTCTTTCTCATTCTTTTTCACTTTCAATCCCTGCAACGACTAGCGTTCTAGTGGCATTACCGTCTTGTCGAGGGGGGGAGGCTGAAACGATTAAAAAATGTGGTGTAGTTATTTTTATTTGCTAAAGCTCTTTGTTTACGATTCTGTGGTGCCAGTCTATAGGATTTGATGAAGGATTGTTTTATTTCAGACCCAACTTTAACTATCGATCTGGGAAAACGGTTGTACATAGAATTTAGTTCAGAATTTTCTACACAAGTCGGACGCCGCGCACGATATCAGTAAGCTAATCTAGATCTGACGAAGATATCTACAAAATATATGAAAGAGCAAGTTCTAAGAGAAAAAAAAATAGAAATGAAAAGAACACTTATAATGAGAAATTTTAATTTCTAGGAAACAAGGAAAGGAGACATGGAGAATTTGACACTCACTGGATATATTGGAGGCAAGAGAAGAAGAAGGAAAACAGCGTGTAACCTATCTAATGAGCTTGTATAAATGGATGGCAGAACAAGGATAATAAAAAAAGACAAACAGGAAGTTCTAAAGAAAATAGGAATGGAAAGAGGGCTTGGAGAATTTGACACACACAGGGCATATTAAAGGGAAACATGAAACAGCGAGTAATCTACCTAACAATCTTGAGCTGGGACTGAGTTGAATGAGAAAAAGGATTGATTGAGTGATTTGTTTTTTACGACTCATCACCCCTTTACAGGTTATTTAAAGCCAGAAAATATTTTTTAGATTGTAAAATATTTTACTATTAATAAGGATTTACTGATACAATTTCTACTAATTAACCCGTAGCTGGCGGTAGAAGAAATGGGTTCATGCCTTTCCCAATTATAAATATATATTATTTATATAATATAACAAACCCGACTGGAATTGAAACACGGATTTCTAGTTTGGAGACGTTATCCATTACACCACACTTAAGTCCAAGCTTATAGCATTTAGTATTCTCAAACGGTCACCCATCTAGGTAGTGACCAGGCTCAGTGTTGCTTAACTTCGGTGACGAGACGAGTACCGGCGTTTCAACGTGATATAGCCGTAAGCCGATGGTAAAGGGAGATACAAAGGAAGCGGTGGAGAGATATGATCGCCCACGTCCTGAAGGGACACTGCACGTAAAAAAAATGTTTCGTTATCATGAGTGTTTAGAAATTGTGTATTTTTTGTAGCACTTCACCTTTTCAACTGAAGCCCTTAGTCAGTTTGAATTCTAACAAATTTGAAATCATGAATTAAAAAATGCAAATATGAGGCGGTATTGAAATGTTGATGACCTAACTCATTTCATACAAGAAACTAACATCTTAACAGTTCCTCGTATATATAAAACTAGCAGGCTTAGCCCGCTCGCTATCGCTTCGCAAAGTAAGATATATTCACTACTTGAAATCTTTGAAACAAAAACTTTTCATTCATAAGTTGGCATGTTATAGTGAAGGAAAGTTTTACAAATAGATGCCAACTTGTTGAAGGGCAAGTAAAATGCAAATTTCAAACACTTTTTGCACTATATAAGACGATATTCCTAAACAGAACTATTTTTGATATGGAAATCAAAACAAAGAACAGTAATGAAGGACAGTTAATTAATGAAATAAACTTTTTTAAAAAAATCATTATGCAAATTAGTTAAACCTGAAGAGTGATATTGCCTAGAAGTAGATAATATATAATACAGATATGGAGCTTTTAGCGTTTAAATTATTATAAAGTAAAGCTGGGGCTTTTTAATCTCAGAATTCGTGGGAGAATTGAGCTCTAATTTTCGCATTATTCATATAGATTCCATAATGTAGGTTTTATTTAATTAGCTATTATGTTTCTCTAACTCTTCAAATGTTGAATGTATAACTAATTCTAATTTCTATTTTTCCCATCTTTTCATTATATTAATTTTATCTTATAAATTGTCCTCTTTCTGTCCCCCATGAAATAAAAATAATTGTTTGTATGGAAAATAAGGACCTACGTCCATCAAATCGTCTTTAAATTAAGTGGCAGCAGAAGAATTATCGTTGAACTTTTAAAAGGTCAGCTTAAACATTAATTCAATACTTAAATGAAGAGATCAATTTTGAGTTCTTCTGTAGTTTATTGATGCCTATCGCATCTACTCCTCCCTAGTGATGATGGCCAAACCAAGAATCCTCCACAAGAGCTAGCTTAAATGCCGCCCGATAGGGCGATTTTAAGCTAGTTTATAATAAAACGTGCACTGAAATTTTGGATACAAAAAGAAAATAAGTGTTACTTCCCTTGAAACATGAAAGCAACGACAATGGCTAGTATAATATATTAATATATATTATTAATCTCGCATAATCTGTCAACACTGAATCTGAACTCAATGAAATCGTTCTCTGCGCCTAACTTTATTAGGGCTTTTGAATGAGCTATGAATCATTGAAATTGGACCAGTGGCAGCGGAGGCGTTGCTTGGAAACAAACACGCATAAACACACACATATACGTTGTACTTTATATATAAGATTAATGAATTTCTCCCAGATAAATGTCATCATATTTATGTTTATCATTTCATCCCAAGCAAGACGATAATGCCACTAGAACGTAGAGGAGTACAGGAAGGGAAACCGAATGAGAAGACTTTAATCAGGAAAAAGAACAATAAAAGAACGGATTTAAGGCAGAACATTTTAACTGTAGGTGGCAGAAAATCAAGAAATCGAGAGAGAGTTCCACAGGCGAGAAGAGCGAGATAAGAAACGATTACTTTCAATCAGTGGTTAACTGGGGTATGAAATGGCTTGTAAATTTGAATGCATCGTAAAGAAAAATGCTCTCATCTAGTCATCATAGAGATAATTCCCAGCCAGCCATTAGCATGGTTGATGCTAGGCTCCAGGAAAGTGCCTCACTGCGCATTCTTGGCCTCACGCTTTCGAATGACTTTAAATGGAACATCTACACTGAATCAATAGCTGCATCTTCTGCAAGGAAAATGGACTTACTGTGTCGTGCCAGAAGTTTTTTCTCGTCTTACATATCTACAAATCTACCATTCGTCCGTGCATTGAATACTGTTGCTCTGCTTGGTCTGGTGCCCCAGCTGTTCATCTCGAGCTTCTCGACAAAATCCAAAGAAGGATCTGCAATGTAATCGATCCTAACTTGGCTTCTTCACTCCAGTCACTTTCTCAAAAACGTAACGTGGCTTCCCTCTGTCTTTTCTACAAATATTATAATGGCAACAGTCCATGGCAAGCTTTTTTTTTTGTGTATGTCTTAGGTAGGGGTGTTTTTAATACCCAGAAGTAGGGGTGTTTTTAATACCCAGAACGCACACACTCAATTAAGCTGAAAAATCGAATCATCCTTGAAAATGGCTAAAGGTATAGCTGAAAGCGCTCGGAAATATAAAACATTTGGACAGTTCTTACACACCCTTTGTCCAGTAAAGAAAGCTCTTGTTCAAACACAAGAAAAATTAAATTAAAATTTTAACCGTAGTTCCTTGTCTGTCGTTTTTAATGAAACACGAATATATATATATATATATATATATATATATATATGTGTGTGTGTGTGTGTGTGTGTGTGTGTGTGTGTGTGTGTGTGTGTGTGTGTGGTGTGATGGTGATGGCTAGATGGAGCTCTACAGCCCAGGAAGGCATTTCATCTAGGGGAAGGAAAACCCCGATTTCAAAAGTCCTCTGCCTTGCGGTCACATCCAAACACGGAAAATGGCTATGGAAGTAAATCCAAGCAGAAAACCCGAAGTGGAGCCCCAAAAGCAGTTGGATGTTAACACTGACAAATTTCCGATAACTTCTGCGGTCCTTTGAATATGCAGTCCTTTGAATCTTATAGGTAGGTCCAAGAGTAGGGGCCATGTGTTCTGGGTAGCACACTGCCTCCATATAACATCATGGAGAGGTCGCTCCATTTTCACCATCAAAAGACGTAATTTTGATCAAACACGGCGCTACCGCTATCTTGCGAGATAAACTGATGCCTTTTCTTTTCTTTTTTTTTCTTTTTTCTTTTTATGGGCCGTGTCCTTTCTGGACGTAGGCGATCATGGCTCTCAACGTCACTCTATCCCTTGCAAGTTCCGTCCCTCAGACCAGGTTCTGTCATCCACTTTCTTAAGCCCGCTAGGTATGTCACGCATTGTTTCCCCTTATCTCGCTTTCCTTCTATTCGACCTGTGAGTATCAGATTCTCCAGGCCCAACTTTCTCATTACATGAAAACTTCAACTGCCTCAACCTGATGTTAAGTATAAGCCTCCTCCTTGTTTGCATCCTCTTTAAGACCTCATCGTTGCTCAAACACTCGGTCCATGATATCCTCAGCATCCTTCTGTAGAATCACATCTCCGTCGACTCGAGCCTCATCTTCATCTTTGAGGAGACCGCCCAGAAGGATTAATGTCACGTAACAGTTCAGTACTCTTTTCTTTGTGACCTACGGAATTCTCCTGTCTCGTAATACTCTGATTAGCTTTTAGAATGAATTTGTAAATTGATTGCACGTTTATCGAAATTAAAATAACTGATCCAAGTGCGACTTTTGGATAATAAGTGCGACATTACTGTAATTATTGAACAATATATTTCATGCCACTTTGACAGAAAATTTACCAGTAAAAAATTCGTTTATCACCATATTTGTACATGAACGCACAACTGTAAAAAATTTAAAATCAAACTCAGCGTTGCTATTGCACGCTCCAAAAACAATAATTCATTTCCAATAGCATTTTCGGATACAACAATACATATATTTTTCGTTGTCCTCTTATTACTAAGAGAAAAAAACAAGAACAACATCTATTCCATACCTGAAGATGTCTGTAGGAACAGACGAAAGCTTGTAGTAAAAAATAAGAACTAATGCGGCAGAAATTTATAGAAACAAGGATCTTTTCATTCATAACGGATCTGGAGGTTTTTGTATATTATTTGAATTGTTTGCGACGATGGATTTCTCGCCAATTAAATCATTAACCTTTGCATTTGTTTTTGTGTGAATAATTCATGAATTTGTAAATTGATTGCACGTTTATCGAAATATATATATATATATATATATATATATATATATATATATATATTTGGTTGGATTGATGTGAGTATGTGACACTGGGTTTATATACACACACTTTTCACACGCACACACACACACACACACACATATATATATATATATATATATATATATATATATATATATATATATATATATATATATATATATATTTGATTTTAAAGGTATAAAATGCGTATATTAAATGTGATATAAAATATACACCCACTGGTATAGTCCTTCCTACAACGCATACCTGCCGATATTTTCACGTAATGGGAATTAGCGGTTTTAGGTTTAAAATTATTATTTTGTTTTGTATTAACTTCCTTATTGTTTTCAAGTATTTATATTATTTTCAGTTGTGGTCCTTATTAATTATCTTGGTAGTATTATGTTTCTATTTTTATTAAAATTATTTATATTATTTTTTTATATATATTTATACATTTGATGAGCTTTACGACGAGCATTAAATATGAAATTATTAGTATATCGTGAGAGTTTAAGAGAATTGTTAATGTATTTGTCTTCCACTTGTAAATAATGAGGCCTGCAAATTGTAAGTGCTCTTAAACAAAAAGATAATTATTCCAGATTTTACGACATCATTTTTTATTAAATTTACTATAAATATTTAGTTCTAGGTCATTATAAGTATGGTTTAACATGAGGAAAGTTAATGCATTGTTTGTTTCTGTTTCGTCAGTAAATTCTATCGTCCATTCAGCTTTGTTTAGTTTATTTCCAAAGTCAAATAATTTTGTTTTGCAGGGATATATTAATAAAAAACATCAATATATCAGAAATATATTTGTTATTTACCGCAATTTCTCGAAAATAATACTTTTTTTTAATGTAAATTACAGGTGATAGTAGGGGTGCGTATTATAAATAGGTATAAACAAAAATATTTTTTCGTTATTGACTTATCATAATAAATATGTAATTGTTCTTCTAAAATAAGAAAGATATTATCCCAATTTTCATT